GCAAAGTAACATAATCTTAGATGTCACTAGCAGTGCTAATTAATAATTTACAACCAGCCAGAGCAGGATCTATATATTTAGTTTACAACTCTTGATTAACTTCTTTCTTTTTTAGAATTAATAATATTATATCATACTTGGACTAATTCTAACATAGATAGAGTGCAATTTAAAGGTTCTTTTATTTTTTGAGATATGGTTTGAATTAATTCATCTCCATTTTTGATATATTGTTATAATTATAAAATAAATGGTTCTTCTGTAAGATCTTATATATATATTGCAATTTGTGGTTTATTGGCAATGATAACTGGATTAAGAATTACTTATGTATACAATTTATCTTAATTAAATTAATTTATTATACCTTTTTTTAAGTAAATTTTTAATGAGAAATCTAAAGTCTATTTAATTAAAGCAAATTTTATATGAGAAAATGCTAATAAATGTTCAATTAATGTTTTCATTTACATTTTTCTATAAAATAATTAGACTTCTTTTTTCTCTATATTTGGTATATTTTCAAAATAAATATTCTAAGTCCAATAATAAGAATATATGCATACTCTAATGTTTATGTAAATGCAACAAAATGACTAATATCTTTGCTTCTATGAAAACTAGGTAAAATTGTATAATTTTAATTATCTTGCATCATGCCAAAATCATATAATTCTAATTAAATTAATTCACTATTAAGTTATTCATCATTTAAAACAATATGAGACATAAATGAATTAATAATACTAACTGGTTATTTTGCAGTTTCTAGTATATAAATACCACATTAAAATCCCATTAATAAGACTTCAAATATTTCTTCTTAATGTGATATTACTTTTTAATTATCTAACTCTTACACAATAACTTCTTAGATATTTATTTTTTTATTCTAAGTATCTGTATTTTCTCTTTAAGTAATTGTTTAACCAATTCGTTATGATAATAATGGAGATTGATTTCGTGATATTTAATCTATATTTATTTTAGGCATTGAATATAAGTGATAGATATAAAATAGTTGAATGAAAATATGAACTAAAATGATTTTGGTTGAACCTATAATTTCAATATGGTTTTTGAATTAAGGTTGTCTATCTAAATTTATTTAAATTACCTTAATAATGTGTACAATAATGAAAATATAATTGCAATAGTTTTAACAATCTATGATTCTATTGCAATAACAAAAAAGATCATCAACCCATATACTTCTAAACTATAACTTCTCTAATCCATTTGATTTCCATATACAAAATCATAATCAGTTTCAGTCCACAATATCATCATTAAGATAAATTTCAGCAATGTAAGAATGTTAATATAAAAAGGTTTCTCTTTTTATAATTTGCTCATTACAATATGAAAAGCTATTATTAAAAAGACTTAAATCTATAAGATTTAAATGTTAATGTATTACAATTATTCTATAAATGAAAACTAATTTCTCTCCTTGAATTTCATAATTTAAAGCATTCGAAATAGTCATTATAATATCTATACATTGATACATTGAAATCATTGTCATAATAGATTACCATAATGAAAAATTTGAGTAAGTTTAGTTCGATATCGTAAAATAATTAGATAGCATAAAGATGTAATTTTAAATATTTATTAAATTATTAAAGAAACATACATAATCATTATTTAAGACAATAAATTTGTTTGCTAAACTAATGTTTAGGAAATCCAATTTAAAGATTAATGAATAAATTGAATTTGACTATTTTTATTTATGTTAATCTATATTTAGTATTTGGATAATTTATATTAATATTAAGTTTTTATTGGAACTGAAAATTTAAAGAAAAAAATTCAAGAACTAATTAATGATTATATAAAATAATGTTGTCAAAATTACAAATTAAACTAATTAAATATAAACTTATAAGTAAATATTCATAGTTTTTTTGCTTTCTACTAATAAATTATAATTTTCAATATTTAAATCCTTAAAACATTAAAGCAAATAAAAATCATACCTATTATTTTCATTTATTTTAATTAATTAATTATAGTTCAATTATAATATATTTATCAATTAATAAATGCAAGTTTTTGACAATTTAGCTTTAAAAGAAGTATAATCTATTAGTATAGATGGCTCTCCTGATAGATTGAAAGAAATAATCAGAATGATTCTATAAGAATTGAATTAAATGGGATACAGCGATGTCTGTAATATACTTGAAGAGGAATCTTAAATTAAATTAGACACCACTTAAATGAATGAATTAAAGGAATCCTTTTTAAATGGAGACTATGAAAAACTCTTACAATAATTAGAATTTTCAGAAACGATCAATAGAGTAGTATTTATATTTAAAATAGAAATTATAATATGAAATATAAAAATAATTATACTTAGAGTTAGTTCAATAAAAGAATTATGAACAAGCAGTCAATTTATTAAGATAATTATCAGAATATAATGAAAAAGAATCATAAGTTCTAGCTAAGTATATATATATGATAAATTATTTAGGTTGATATTTCTATAAGAAGATGCTTCTTAATTATATATTGAATTAGCTATACCTATGGATTAAGGGGAACAAAGATTATAACTTTATTAGAAAACCTTAAATCTAGTAAATTTTGGAGAATTTTCATTAAAAACACAATTTGATAAAGTGATTGATTAAGCTTTAGAATATTAAATTAAATAATGCCCATATCATAATGATTCTAATGAGAATAAGAATTATTCATTATTATTAGATCATAATTGCTAATGTTATTAAATACCTAAAAATAATTCTATAATTTTTTAAGATTTTGATGATGAAGTATGGATTGGTAAGTTCTCTAATTCAGGTATATGGATTGGTTGTGCAACAAGAAAAAATTCGATTTATATAATATCAAAGGAATCATAATAAAAAATAAGCAAAGCCCATTAAATGGATATAAATTCACTTGTTTTTACATCAGATGATAAATTGTAAAACTGAATAAATTTAAATGATTAGGTTGTTTTCAGCATCAAATGATAAAAAAATTAATGGTTATGATGTTTAAACTGCATAATTAAAAGTAACAATAAATTAACATACTAATGAAGTTCTATGTTTGGCTTATTTTAAAAAGTATTTAATATATCATATTATTATCAGTCAATTATTTAGTGGTGGAGTAGATGGATGGATTGGTATATGGTAAGATAATGGTAAATTAATAAATTAAATTAAAAGTAAAGTAGTAAAGAATATTTTAATAACTGATTAATATATGTTACTTCATAATGCAGCAGTATTTTCAATAACAGTAATTGAAAATGATTTTAAATTTAATAAAATAATAACTCATTTAGAAGAATAAGAAATAATTGTTTCATCAGCTATTAGCTAAAATTAATAATTCTTAGTTTTAAATATATCAAAAGAAAAACCAAAATTACATTTATGGAGTCTTAAAACTTTTTAAAAATTACATGTATTTTTTGGATTTTAAGTTAAAGGGATAGAAATGAAATGTTGTTTTGGTAGTAAAAATGATAATTATGTTTGTGTTGGTAGTTAAGATGGTAAAGTACATTTTTTTAATAAAAATAATCAATTATAATAAAATATAATTGATGGACATGATTAAACTATAAATTATGTTGATTGGCATAGTTAAACAGCTTAATTATTAACAGCTAGTGATGATAAAAGTGTTAAGATATGGATATAAGATTAAGTAACATAATAATATATAATAAATGTTTCTAATGAATATGATTAACCATCAAATTCTTAATATGGTGAAATTGAAGAAGAATAAGATGATCATGAAGATGAAGAAGAATATTAATAATAATCAGAAGGAGATTAATCATTTTGAATTATAAAATTAAATATTATTATTATAATTAAGATATAAACTTTAAAAACCAATTAATATTAAAATGGAAATCAAAATTTTGAATATCTAAGTTCCTAAAATAATTCTAAAATAGAACATGCGATATCATTATCAATATCAAAATCATTATGTGTCATTCTCTCTTTTATAAAAATTTGAGATTTGTTTTGTATGCTCATTGGCAAACTAAACTAAAGTTTTTAAATAATTTACTTAGTATACAAATAATTTGAATGATATGGTTTTATTAATTTATCATGTAATCCATGAATAAAAACAATAGGACATTTTACTTATTATGATCTTTCATAATTTTTAAAGATATCTGGTAGGCAGAAAAAAAAAACAATAATAATACCAAATCCACAACATAAATCTTATATTATAGTTTTGATAGACTTATAGCAAGACATAACAATTAAACCTTTAACATTTCTAACACTTGCTACATAAAATGCAGGACCTGTTCCTATTGATCTAATTTTTTATCATATTTGAATACCTTCCAAAAACATAAATTTGATTATCTAGTAATTTTTATGTTTTCTTTATATGATCATATAATGTTAATGCATCCTCTTCAATCAAATTACTACTCATATTCTTTTACATTTCATAAACTCCATATCCTGGATATTCTATAACAAAGATATTTGTATTTATTGTTTTCATTAAATGTTCCATAAATTAAGAGGCTGCCTACCTATATTCATACAAAAAATAGTTGTTTACATGTCTTCAGCATTTCCATGAAAATAAATTAAATAATTACTTGTTTCTGAATATTTGTTCTTTAAGTAGACATATGGTATGGCTCTGACTCTTTCTAAATTATATGAGTTTAACAATTAGTCACTCTTTAAATTAACTTAAATTAAACATATTTATCATAATACCTAATGAATTATATACATTTGCATATTTAAGCTTATCTCCAAAAAATTTTTCAGTATACATTGGAGAAGGACTTGGAAAAATTAATCTGTAAATCTTTTTGAAACAATGAAGATAAACTAATAGGCCCAGATAAAGTAAAATTACTAAGGAAAAGAAACAAATTGCTATTATATCACTTGGTTTCATTTCTTAATATATTTAATAATAATGATAAGATAAAAAGGATATAAAAATATCACTATAAAAGTGTTATATCAGGTGGAAATTTTATTTTGTATATATGAAATAAATTCTCCTTCTTATTTTGAACATAATTCCAATAGTTATGTACGTTCTATATTGAGAACCTCAACTTTGCATTTCTATTGAGATATTAAAGCTATAATTATAATATATATTTTATACATTCTTGCTATTCTAATCTCAATTACAGAATGTCATTAATTTATTATTTTGGTATTTAAATGATATGATGATACAATTATTTCAATGGATATATTTGGATATTAAAATCTAGCTTAAGAGATTAAACATTTTATTTAAGAGCTAGATTTTCTATTTTTAATTGCTAAACTAATTGTATGACATTACTAAATTTAGTTAATTATTAATATTGTTCTTTTATCCTCTAAAAATCTAAACAATTTTAATACTTTTAATGAATTATCTTGTTTTTATTGCAATCTCTAATTTTCTAAAACTAAATAATTAACTTGTTCTTTTAAATCTGTTATTTATTATTACAATTATTGAACATAAAATTTGTCATATTAAATTATAGTTGATGGATTTTTTGTAATTTTATTAGAATTACTCTTATTTTGACTAAAATGAGAAAGTATAGCTTCATAATTATATTGATTAATATTTTATCGTTTAGTATTAGACTTCGATGAGGTTGCTAAGTAATTAATATGCAATACAAGAAGGAATATAATAAGGTCTTGACTCTGTCATTTATTTACTTATTTATCTAAGTTTTATAAATTTTATTTCTAATCAAATTATTTCTATAAAATGATATTAAATATATATCAATAAATCAGAATATTTACATGAAAGATTTATGTTTTGTTTTTATCTTTTTCTAAAAATGCTCATATTATAAATATGTTTCAGAAATAATAATTTATTAATAAGATAGCCTTAACAATTTAATTTATAAAAGATTTCTAAAATAAAAACTGCTTAGTTCTTACTTTTTTTATTTATATTAATTTTAGGATTGCATTACAAATTGATAATTTTTATAGAATAAATGAATTAATTATAATTTTCTTAAGCATAATCACCAAGAGAGAGTAATTTTGATTTTGAAGATTTGCCTTAACTTCAGGAATAACAAATTAATGAAAGTAAATTAAGTGCCTCAATATTTACAGATGTATATTACTTATTTAGACTCTAGATAAAAATATTTGGGACTATTTATTTAATATTGTTAATACTATTTAATTCTTACATTGTGTTTGATTTAACTTATAAGATATCCCTATTGTATGTTACAATTTTACATTTTCTTTAGGTAGTACGATTAGCAATTAATAATTATAAGTATCACAGTTTATTTATATAGTAATATCTTGAATGATCATAATTGTTGTCTTGAATTATTTTGGGGAATCTTATCAATATCTTATTATGTAATAATACAAATTATCTTAGGGTTGTTTTTTTTATTTCATAGATCACTCTAATTTTCCAATACAATATCCTACAATAATGTATTTTGTGTTTACTTTATCATGGATTGCCTTTCTATTACATGCTTATAGGTAAAACAAACAAGAAACAAATATTATTTCACTTGTAAATGAATAATAGCATATATTATAGTTTACTGTATTTTGTAAATTGCTTTTGACTGCCTAATTAATGTTAATAAATTTTCGTTAAATTAATTGGCTTTAGTGGGATTGGATATATATATTTTCTATTGTTTGGGCATTCTTAATGTTTGCAATTATTCTTCAATTTATTTTTATCATTGATTTTATAATGAAAGTAATCATTACAATAAAAGAAACTAATATATTGAAAAAATAAGCATTAAATTAATAAAGTAGCTTAGTTAAATAAATAAATAGTTATATGTTCATTGTGGATTAATCTTATAATTCTTTCTATTTCTGGATTATTAACATTTACTATTGTGAGTTATTCTATATTATTAAGCACAGAAAAAAAACCCTTTAATTTTATACCAATTATAATATGTATTGTTTATAGTCTAGTTATTGCTGCTTATACATGTTATTTTAAAAGAACTTTAAAGTAATTATTATGATATTAACATTAGTTAATTCTTAATGACATTTTAAAGAGAGGAAGAGAATTAAAATGATAATAATTAATTTAGTTCTCCTAGTTCAAAGAGGAGAAGTATTTTTACAAGAGACAAAAATAAAATTAACATCAAATTACCATAATTCTTAGTATTAAAGTTAGTAATATAAGATAAAATTGTCATAAACATATTTTCAACCTTAATTGATTGGATAACAATATTAGTCTTAAAAATAGATATAATCATTATCTGAAATTAAATAAGAAAAGAGAAATAAGACAGATATAGAGTAACCTAAATAAAGCAATTAGAATTCCTTAACTGAATTGAAAGTTGAAAAAGATTAAAATTGTTTTAATTGTTATTAGAATGAAAGTTGTGCTGTTTATATGCCATGTGGTCATGGTGGTTTATGCATTAAATGTGCAACTGAGTGGTTTGTAGAAAAATAAGAATGTTTAATTTGTCGAAAAGTACTTAATTACATAAAATATTTAGCCAGTTGAATAAGTAGTTAAAGTCATTGAATCAAACTCAAATACATTTTAAATTGTTGATGTAATTGCCTTTTGAAAAATTCTTTTTGTTTTTGTGAAATATCAATTTTATAATCTATAATTCATCCTTAATTAAATAATATAATCCAATTTAAATCATATTATTGACTAAATTTATGATATATTACTTTAATATTAGAAGCTCAATAATTATAAATAGATTTGGATCTTAATTAGTAATAATTATTTGAACTGATTTTTACACTGATATTTGTAATTACCTTTATTATTCCAAATCATTCATATATAAAAAATAATATAAATATTTTTCAAAATTAACTATTATTAACGAAGAAAATTGTTTTATTATTAACACTAATTAAAATTATTAATCATGATCGATATTATATAATATTACGCAATTAATATGATGATTTTATGAATAATAGAGTATTTATCTTAAGGATGAAAATCTAAGATTAATGAATGCTTAATATTATAATTTATATCTAAATTTTAATGCCAAGTTAAAAAAGAGACTATTAAAAAGTTTAGAAGAGTAAAAGAGAAGCATTGATATTCTTAGTTTTTCAAAAGGGTAACAAAATCAAAGAAGTATTTTATTTCTTTATTTTAGGCATCCAATAGTCTTGAAATTAAATATGCAGTAGCTAAGACAATTGTAATTGCTTATAGGAAAAAATTTATTTTAGACAAGAGAGAGATATAGTCAACCAAAAATTGTTAATTCAAACTCAGGGAAAATCAAACATCAGTTCATTAAATAATAACTAAAATTGGAGGTGAATGTGTTAATGACAATTAAAACCTAGTTTGATAACTTAATTTTTATTTTTCCTCAAGAGAAGGCAATTGTATATTCAAAATTAAATAAAAAAACACTTCGCTGAATTATTCAAAGAAATACTTTTTTTATAAACTTAAAAATTCACTAAATTTTACCTATATTTAGAATATTTTATATCTATGTTTCTTTTTATAATGAAAATCATAATTTTGATATTGTTTTTGAATATTATAGCTACATCCATAGATAAATAGAAAAAAATTGAGGAAAATAACACAAAATAAATCTTTAAAATTTTTATTAAAAAAATTAAATGTATAATCTATATAATATAGAGATTTAAAAGGATGCAATTAAATATATTACTTTTTCTTTAATTCTATAAAAAAATTGTTTAAAATAAAAAGAACGAGAATAATCAATATTTTAATTCACCAAAAATATAATGTAATTCTTAGTTTTATCCATTAGGAAACTTTAATATCCCTATCCCATGTCTCACTCCATGAAACCATGATCCAACATAAATTTTGCCATCATTAAATTCATAGGTTCCTTTTCCATGACATGTATCCTTATAAAATCTAAGAGTTTATATTTTTAATTTTATACTATCCAATATGATGATCTCCATTATTATTAATTAATGTGCCTTATCCATGTTTTTAACCATTTCTCATATATCCTATATATTGAGAACCATCACTCCAAGTGTAAGTTCCTTTACCAATAATTTCATTTGATTCAAACTATCCTTCATAATATGAACCATCTTTAAATAGTAATTTTCCTTCTCCATTTCTTAAACAATTTAAAAAATATCCTTCATAATACTAACCATTAGGCAATATTTATTTTCCATAACCATCCAAAATTTAACCATTCCAAAATCCTTCTAAAATACTACCATCCGAATAAGTCATTTTACCTATTCCATTTTGCTTATCACAAATCCAATGTCCTTCATAAATATCACCATTTCCATAGACTTATTTACCATATCCATGTCTTTTATCATTCTACCAATAACCATCATAAATAGAACCATCTAAAGAAAATAATTTTCCTTATCCAGATCTTTCTTCTCTAAATGTTTCACCAACATATATTTAACCATTTTTTTAAATAAAAGTTAGATTATATCTACTAATCAATTATTTTTCACTAATTCTTGGTAAAGACAAAGTACTATCAGATGCTTTCAAAGGAGATTCATCTGTTTTATCCGTTGAAATCTATTTAATATTTTCACTATAAATTCTATAAAATTAAATAAGAATATACAATTAATGATTAGATTTAAATGCTTCTATTATATCTGTATCCTATAATTAATCTAACCATCTTTTCCTCTTTCCTTCAAACCATTCTCCAAATTTATAGTCTCCATTTAATGTATACATAATTCCTATTCCATGTTATTTTCCTTACATCCAATTTCCTATATATTTTTTGCCATCTTGCCAACAAAACATACCAAACCCTTATTTCAAATCTTAATCATAAGACCCTTCATATATTCTTCCATCAGGCCAAGTAGTTTTTCCATTTCCTTACATTTTATTTTTATACCATCCTCCAACATATGTTCTACCATCAGACCAACGATATTCCCCATAACCTTGAATTTCATCATTAACAAATTCTCCTTCATAAATTGAATTATCATTAAATTTTAATATTCCTTTACCATCTTTTAATCCTTTTTAAAATTCTCCAATATAATTAGCTGTCTCTTTCCATTATTCTATCCCAAAATAATGTTTGAAATTATGTAGCCAATATCCCCTATAAATTGCCCCCTCAAAATATTAATACTCTCCATAACCTGTTGCTTCATCATTTCTCCAATGTCCAATATACACATCCCCATTAATAAAATACTTAATACCATATCCATTATATTATCCTTTCTTCCATTACCCTTCATACTTTTGACCTTGTTATATTTTATAAATTCATACCACTTTAATCAACTTAAACTCCCCAACCATCTTATATATTGTCAATTAATTAACCTCTATATGAAGATCCTAAATGGTTATTTTAATTAGTACCATTATCGAAGATGATAGTATCTGTTTCTTTATATTTTTTATATATTTCTTGTTCAATCTTTTGAGTCATCATTTATGAGTCAAATGTTGACAGAATAATTTACATCCCTGTTGTTATAAACTAATTTTATTCCCAATATCCTTCATAAATTTAATCATCAATGGTTGTGTACTTTCCATAACCATCCATCTAATTATTATTCCAATTTCCTTCATATATATCCCCTAAATTGAATGATAAAAATATACCATTAGGAAATATTGCTTTACCATAGCCATTCTTTACTTAATTATTGAATAATTATCCTTGATACAGCATATCTAGGTATATATTCTATTTATTTACTATTTTCAAGGAATTTGTAGGAATACTCATTTTTGTTTATTTCTGTAAAATGGGTGAAGCTTTTGGTATCATTTAAAATTAGAGCCATAATTTTATATTAATATTATGAGGGTAGAAAAATCTATTTTAAAATTTTTATAATCAATCTTAATAACTTGCAAGTTTTAGGTCAAATAATAGTTAATTTATTCTAATACAAGTTATAATGAAAAATCAATTAAATAATAAACATTATTTTCTTACTCATCAAAATAATGATAATTTGATAAATTAATTATATAATAAATTAATTAAAATGATGTCTAAATGCAAGTCCTGTTAGGATGAAGGATTTTTGACTTGTCCTTTATGTTAAAAAATAACATATTGTTCCAAAAAATGCAGAGATTATGATTGGTAATTGTATAAATCCTAATAAAGAGGGCTATTTCTCATAAATTTGATTGTAAATCATAGCTTCCTAAAAGAAGTGTTTCTGAATTTGAAATTGTTAATTAAGGATCATTAGGGAGAGGAAGTTTTGGATGTGTAAAATTAGCTCGCGATAAATAGACTGGTTTGCTATATGCAATGAAGATTGTAATTATTAAAGTAATTTAGATTGAAAAATAAGGTGTTTCGATTGAAAATTTAAAGAGAGAAATAAGAATATAGAAAAAGCTTTAACATCCTCATGTTATTTAATTATTTGAATTTTTTGAAGATGATTAAAATGTTTATTTGATCTTAGAATATGCAGGTATTTTAATCATTTTTAATATAGAGAATGGATCCTTATTTGGTTATTTAAGGAAAAGGAAAATTTTAAATGAAAATGAATCCTTTGTTTATTTTTTTTAAACTTGTTTAGGAATAGATTATCTACATAAGAAATAAATCATACATCGAGATTTAAAACCAGAAAATTTATTACTTGATAAAGATGGTAATATCAAAATTTGTGATTTTGGATGGTCAGCTGAAATAATGATTACATAAACTAGAAATACGTTTTGTGGTACCATTGATTATATGACTCCTGAAATGTTAGAAGATAAACCTCATGATTAAACATTAGATATGTGGTGTTTAGGTGTATTATTATATGAATTGATACATGGAACAGCTCCATTTAAAGGTCGAAATGATTTTGAGAAATGTTAAAACATTTTAAAATAAGAAAATTTTGAAATACTTGCTAGTGATTAGGTAATCTTGCCTTTACTATTAATATTAGGCTAAAGACCTTATTTTAGGATTAATGAAAAGAGACTCTAAATAAAGACTTACAATGGATTAAGTATTTTCTCATCCTTGGATGTTGAAGATGGCTAAAGAATATAATGTGGAAATAAAAGAATATATATTTGAAGAGAAAAAGAATTTAGATGAATTAAGTAGCAGTTTAAGACTTGATACAAAATTTTCAAATAGAAATACTACAACAACAAGATTGTCAGGATCAAATTTTAAGAAAGAATGCAATTCTATAGCTTTCTCTATGTATTCTGAAGATATGCAACCTCAAATTTAAAATAGAATTACAAGAAGAACAGATCATTCTGGAAAAAAAGAAGGAGGATTCTTTGAAACTCTATTTTAGAATTTTGGTTGCACTAGACGTAATTGATTTATAGATTATTTTTTTGAAAATTGATATATTTTTCACTTTATTTACTTTAAATATTATAATTTTATATATTTAATATTGGATTTATTGGAATATTCGTTATGATAGATTAAGAAAGAATATCCCTTGATTAAATTTATGGATGTAATTTCAAAAGGGTACCATTACTTTATGGAGAAATGGAAGGAACTAATCCATTTTAAATAAATGAAGCTGATGAAGATTTAGATTCAGATAAATAAATACTTGAATAACCTAAGCAAATATCACCAACTTAAAAAAAAGCATAATTGAAACCATTAATAAAGACAAGGCAGAGATAATAGACTTTTCATAAATCACCTATTAATATGAGTTAATTTGAGAAGCATATTGGATTTCGAAATTCTTTTTATAAGAATAATAACAAAATCAATTTAGTTTCAAGATAAAGAGTTGAATAAGTGAAAAATCAAGAGATTGGAATGTTTACTAAATATGCTTAAAGGTTTTAGCTTCAAAAATTATAAATTTGGAATTGAATTAAATCTAGATTAATAATTTGAATCGACATCTAATTTTGCTATTTATTTATTTAATATTAATTTCTAAATTTCATATCAAATAAAAATATTAATAATTTTGATTGTGAATACTTCTCAAATTTATACTATATTTATTATGAGAAATTATTACAAATATATAATGATCAATTTATTGAAGAATCTTATAAAATAAAATATAAAAAATAATGAATGATGATATATTTATCAAATAGCCTATATATGATGAGAAGAATGATTATTCAGAAAAGTATAAGAATATATTTTATTTTATTAGATAATCCTAATTTGGATAAAATGATGAATCATTAGAACATCTAGTCAATTCCTTAATCTAAAAATAATAACATGATGACCATTATGAATTTAAATCATAAATTGTTAAAAGAAACATTAATGATTAAAGGTATTTAATGAACTGTATATTCTATTCCAAATTAGATTTACATTTCAAGAGGATAAACTAATTTTAGAATTAGTATAGTAAGTGGGACCTAACTTTAATAAAATAGTCAAATCCTTTCCTGGAAAAACAATGAATATGATAAAAAATAGATATTATAAAAGATTACGCTACATAAAAGAGGACCTTCAAAATGGTTAAGAATAAAGAAAGAAACAATCTAAACAAAAAAAATTTAATTGAAATTTATCATTATAGACTAACCTAGCCACTTTAATGTTGCTATTTAATTACTTCAATAATAATTTTATATTTTTATTTTTCTTATATGCTTTAAGTATCAAATGAAAAATTTTTTAAATATATAAATTTTTCAAGATACGCTTCATTTCTTAAAGATTAATGCTGAAACCAACTTAAAATAAATTTTAACTTGAAATTTATTAAGTTTCTTTTGAAATACTAATATTAATTGGAAAAGTAAGTTTTAAAGACTTTGAAGTATTTTCAGAGGAATTTCTGAGCAAAAAGTAAAATTAAATGTGAAAAGTTCTTATAAAAATAAAATGAAATCATGAATGTAAAACAAATAAATTATATATATATTAAAAAAATGAAAAAGAATAATTAAATTTATTTAACATATTTATATTCTATAAATCTTAATAATATCAAGGATCAAATAAAAATCTTAAATAAATTAACAAAATTGTTTTTTATCCATTTGAACTAGAAATTGATAAATTATATGAAATGTGTTAGGTTAATTTAAAAATATTTACACTTTAATTTAAGATAACAATAAGAAAAATATATATTGATACAGAATTCGACATCAACATTAATTAATAAACAATGTTTGCAAAGTAAATATTAGATAGATTTTATTTTCAACAGAAATTATAGTTGCATCAATATTAAGTTTAATTTAATACATTTTTGCCAAATTAAATATTTAAAGTTACTATTTTTAGCAATAAGGCTTCAGAAACAATTAGATGTAATTTTAATGATAAGATTAGTGAGGTTGATTGCTTTTGAAGTTTTTCATTGAAATAATAATTAAAATTAGATTTATGATTGTCTAAGAGAGATAAATCATAACTCATTTTAATATAATTTAGTGAGAGACCATTTTTTTTTGTTTATTTCAAAGCTTAAATAGTATATACTACGTGTAGAGGTTTAGCCAAAAACTATATGAACACAAATATAGACAAAAAATATTAATTAATTAATAGAATCTTATTCCTAGCTTTAAAAATGGATTCTAAACTTCTTAGATATAATAAAATAATAAAAATATAATTATTAAAAGAAAAAGTATTTAGATATTAAGCAAAAATATTTGCTATTTATTATTAATTAAATGGCTTATATGGAAATTTAATTTATAATAATTCATCTATGAAATTATTCTGTTTTTATATTGTTGCTTACATCCAAGCTTTCAATTTACACTTTGCATCTGATCCAAAAGCTCTTTGTCTAGATGGATCGCCAGCAGTATTATTTTAATTGATATATAATTAGTCCTATTATAAAGCTGAAGGATATGGGACTGGGGCTAAAAAGTATATTCTGCATTTCTAAGGGGGAGCGTATTTATATTTTAATAAACATTTTAGAAGGATAGATGGATCAACTTAAGATTAATTGATTCAATCAGCATATTTAAGGTTGAATTTGAAAATATTTATAGATCTAAAACATAGCTGGGAAGCTCAAAAGATTTGAGTAAATAGATGTTGTTTAATGGGATGTTTTCTAGATCATAAAATAAAAATCCATATTATTATAATTGGAACTTAATTCACTTTAATTATTGTGATGGATCTTGTAAATATTTATAATATATTTTAAGTACACTAAGGATATAAATCTGATCCTATTGAATATTTAGGAACATAATTGTATTTTAGAGGTGACGTAATTGTGAAGTCATTTATTTCAGACTTGTTTCAAGAACTCTCAACTGCTGATACTGTAATTGTATCTGGTTGTTCTGCTGGTGGAAATGCAGCTTATTTTTGGATTGAATATATCAGAGCATTATTACCATAAAATGTAACAGTTTATGGAGTTCCAGATTCAGGAATGGCATTAAACTTATTAGCAATAGATGGAACAGATTATCCAACTGAATCACTTATTTAATTAATTGATTTAGTAAATATAGAAGTTACACATCCAAATAAATAATGTGTTGAGAAGTACTCAAAAGAAAGTTGGAAATGCTATTATGCTTAATATTTATTTGAATTTATTAAAACCCCTTTATTTATTATCTAATCTATGTACGATTATTTTAGTCTGACTGTAAGATTTAAAATAGATTGTGCAAAAAACTATACATTAACTAATTGTTCTAAAGAAGAATTAGATTTTGCATAAAACTTATACAAATAAAATTATGAAATCCTAAGTTAAAGAAAAAAGGATTATCCTGAAACAGGTGCATTTGCTCCAAGTTGTTTAGAGCATTGCTTTTTATTAAAAGATTATTATGATTCTTCAGATTGGGAAGTTCCTGGAGATTCAGGGAATACTCTCTAGGTAGCTCTAAATAATTGGTTAAATTCTAAAACAAATATAGAAGATAATTTTTATGTTGATAAGGTAGAATGGCCAGATAATAAAAAATGTTCCAATAGTGATTACAATAATTATTCACCTCTATATGTTTTGAGTATTCTATTGATATCACATATTATTTGAATAATTTTATTATTTAATTGATTGATAAAATTATAATTGAATTTATGACTTAAATCTTATTTAGAATAAAGAATGTGAAAAATATATAAATTAAATAAGAATTTATAATTATAGATAAGATGAATGAATTTAAATATTTAAATATATAATATTGTAATTGGGATATCATAATTTCTAAAGTTATCTCCATTTATTTGTTATGCGATCTAATATTTTTCTATTATCATCTCTTGATTATTTTTCTACTAAAAGCATTTGAAAGTCGAGATCTGTTGTTTTAACAATATTTTTATGTGTTATTTATTAATCTAACAATAATTCTATAGCAATTAAACTATCTTAACTAATAAAATTATTAATTTTTAATACAATATTCCTTCAGATGTCTTTTTTTTAAGATCATCCAAAATATCTCCAATCAATTTAATGATTTTTGTTGTAAAACTATCTTCTAATTTATTTCTATCAGAATCTGATAATTCAACTTCGTATTGGATTTCTTTAAAAAATTGTTCTTTACAATTTGAAAAGAATATTTTATAATATTCTTATTCATTTTTAATGAAATTTAAGATATTCCATTTAGTTCCTTTCATTAAAATATCTTCTCCAGAATCACAAGTTTCTTCAACCAATTATATCAATAAATTGCTATATGCTAGAACAAGTCTTGATAGAATTACAATGCATTCTTCTATTGATTAATCTCTTCTAAATAGCTACTTCAATTAATCTAATTTTTAATACAATTCTAAATTAACAAAATGACGAAATGCTATGTTTTATTTCATTTGTTACAAAAACAACAATTACTTAACTAATTAATCTCCTGTCATTTTCTATTATTATTTTTGCATCCAACTTAAATTTTAATCATTATACAACTTTTATAAAGTTGGATTATTTGAAACTAATCCCTTTTCCATACTTTCAAACATCTAAAATACTTAATCCCATGAAATTCTTTCAGTTTCTTCTACAATCAAAGCTTTTGTCAAAAAGTCTCTAGTAAAATCAGTGATTGCTTGATTCCCTTTAAAAACTAATGGTTTAATTAAAATATTTTTTAGCAAATCCTATTCATCTCTTCCCTTCCAAGGAACATCATGAAAAACCATCTCATAAAATATAACACCAATAGACCAAATATCACATTTTGTTGAATATGTTTTCCTTTACAATATTTAAGGTGCCATATATAAAGGAGAGCCAACACATGATCTTAATAATTAGGATGTATAATTATCAACATACTTAGCAAATCCAAAGTCTAAATTTTAATACAATAATTACCAGCTATTTTAACAATACCTTCATGATTTAATATATTAGCTGGTTTAAGATCCCTATGAATAACTCCTTATTTCACTAATTCTTTAAATCCATTTATTATTTATAACATGATACCTTGAGCCTATCAAAAATAGATAAGTTTTTTTTACTTCTTTTTCAGTCAACCTTCTTTTTTGAAGAAATTCCTTCAAATCTCCATCTTTACAAAATTCAGTAACTATATAAAGAGATCTTTATGTAGTAATCAAATCTATAAATCTGACTATGTTTGGATGATTAAACTTTTTTAAAATCTCTATTTCACTAACAATCTAATTCCTCAAATATGTATCTCTCTCAAATAACACTAAATCCATTTTCTTGATTCCAACAATTTCATTAGTCTTTATATCCATACCCTAATAAACCTTTCCATAAGCTCCTTCACCTAAGCAATGTCTTTCATTATATTAATATTGACCAATCTATTTAACTGTACGATTTTAGGAGCTCATTAATATCAATTAATAATAATTTCAATTATATTATAAGACTATTGATAAAATAAAGATGGACAACTTTATGACTATGAATTTTATATATATATTAATTATTTTTGAAGAAATCAACTTATTCCCTAAATGATTTGATTGCAGAATCCCAATGTGCTTTTATTTTATTAGAATTTTTATCGTTTTCAATTATATTTTATAAAATTAAGAATATTTTATGCTATAGTAAGTTTTTGTTGATTATGTAACCCTTAGAAAAGATAGGTTTCTTAAGTTTCTTGTTTTATTATTAATAATTTTCATTTTATACTTTGATTTTATATTTAATATGCAATTTGAAGTAGCACTTGAAAAATGTGGAAACAATGGTTGGTATTAAATAAGATTATTCTTAATTTCATCACTTCTAATTTTTATCTTATCTGCTTCAATTATGAGTGCAACATATAATTACATTGTTCCATAATTATATTGTAATGGTTAAGTAATGTGAAAATTTTATTCTTAAGCCTTGCACTGAGGATTAAAAAACTTGTTCAGAGAAAAACTATCAAATAGATCCTGATTTTAAATACAAGAATTTAGTCACAGAGTTCAATTTATTTTGTGAAAATAAAAAGTACATTATGATTGCAAGCACAATCAACTTTTTAGGAGCAGTGATTGGAGGTTCAATTCTTAGCTAAGTTTCAGTAATTTAAATGATGTATTCATTATTAGGATTATTGGGGAAGATATAAGACTCTATTATTATCTCTAATTTTTACAAATATTGGATTTATTGGAATCTATTTAAGTGCAACCATTGTAGAACTAATTATATTTACTTTCATATTTGGATTCTTTTAAGTTGGAGTCTATATTATGATTCCAGTCTTAATTAATGAAATCAGCGGATATGACATCAAATAAATATATTCAACTGGAACTTTAATCTTTTGGTGTTTAGGGGAGATTCTAATGGCTATTTCATTTTTTGCTATAACAAATTGGAGAACCATTCAATTAATTGTTATTGTTATTCCAGGCTTTATTTCACTAATTTTAACATGTATTTCGATTCAAGAAAGTCCAAGATATCTGTGTTAAATTAAAGATTATGATAAAGTAAAATACATTTTAAAGTATTTATAGGCACTTAATGTTTTTCGTTATATTGCAAGGGTAAATGGAAATGAATTTGATGAACAAGTTTTAGAACATTCTTAAATGAATAGTGTTAGAACTAATTATTCAATATTTGATTTGTTCAAATTAAGATAATTTGCATCCTCTTCAGTTGGATTTATTTTAATTTCTTATGCTTTGCATTTAATATATTATGGTGGTTAGTTTGTGTTATAAGATATTTCTATTGGAAACATGATATACAAAATAGGTATTCTTCTAGGAATAAGTGAATTAATAGGTTATTCTATGATCACTTATATGATACCAAAATTATAAAGAAAATATAATCAAATATTTTTCTTTTCAATCTAAATTCTAGGATGCTTAGCATTTTTATTTTATGGAATTTCTTAATATAAACTTGAATGCTAAAGTTGTTTTGAAGAAATAGTTGTGATTTTACTAGTAATATTATATATTATTATTTAGTGTTGCTTGATAAGATTTTTTAATAGTTTTGGATTTGGTCTTTTACGATAGCATACACTTGAAATTTATCCAACTTCAATAAGAGGTACAGGTTCTGGATTTCTATTTACTCTTGGAATCTTAGGATCATTTTCATCATCATATATGATTGCTTTAGCTAATTATTTTGAATTCAATTAAGTAGCCTTCTTAGGTATATGTTCAATTTCTGGAATTATTGGAGCCATTTTAACTAAAGAGACATACCAAAAAAAGTTGATTGATGATGTAGATGAATCTATAAGAGAAACTTATTTGGATGATGGAATGCTTAAATCAAATTGATATTTCTTTAATGTTTATATCATAACATAAATAAATACATAAAAATAAAAAATAAAAAATAAGAAAGTAATTCAGTATAATCTAATTCAATCTTAATCTTCAATAATATCAATTTATTATTATAATCTTTTTAGATTTTAAATATTTTATGTGTATCTATATAATTATAGATGCTTTCTAAATTTAAATAAAATAATAACCTATTATATTCTCTTACATCATACCATTCTTTCATACCAGATAAATATTTATATAACTTTTTTAGTTCATCATCTGATTTATTATCAAAGAATGGAATTATAGGTATTCCATTATCAATTTACTAAGAAAAATTGAAAGCCGAATTGTCAATTAAAGCTACTCTTTCTAAATTTCTGTTAAGTATTCTTAAATCTTTTACAAGGATTCCACCAGATGTTAAAATACAAGATTCTCTATATAGTCTATGTGCAAATATATTATTATTTGGATCTAAGTAATCAATTATACTTTTTGCATATATCTGATCAGAGGCTGTAAAAACAATTAATTCAAAATCTTTTGATAATTTTTTTAATATTTCAACAGCATTAGGTCGAATATTAATTTTAGCAAAAACTTATTGTGTTTTATTTAAATTGATGGTTAGGATTACATCATATGATTTTTAATCTCTCTAATTACAATGTATTAATGTTTCATCTAAGTCGAACACTAAAGTTATAGAATCTAATAAATATTATTTACACAAATACCTTTATATTTATTTTATTAAGATAATTTTAATCCCTTTTTATTTATATCTATATAATTTGCAGGTTTTAACTTGATACCAATACTTAATTCTTAACATAATTGTTTAAAATGATTTCGATATACTTTATTTAAATAATCATTTTAATCTTATAATAATATTGCTTACTTAACTTTTTGGATATAGTATATTTCTTCTTCATTTCTTGTTGTTTATTCTTACTAAATATATGAATATTAAGTAAATTAAAAAGTACCACATTTAGGTGTGATTGGTTTTGAATTAACAATTTATCTACACATTAATTAATCTTAGTACCTATTCACAATTCCATTATTTCTAATTATATTGGATGTTTATCTAAAATGTTATGAATGTGTTTTATTGTCTGATTTTGTTGATAAATCTTATGCTACTTTATAAGAATGCTTTGGTTAAACATTAAAAAAATTTGTGTCAAAATTTATTGTTTTTGACTTGGGGTTATCTTATAAATTTTAAGTTTCCTGAGATTATTATTATGTTTAAATAGAATTTATGTGTTGGTTTTTAGAAATATATTAATGAAACTTTTTAATTGCTTAACTTAATTCATTTTAAGTAAGCAAAGTTCCTTATTTTTAAATTGAATTTTTATCAAGTTATTATTATAAGAATTGTTGTGTGAATTATGTATTTTAAGGATTATCTGATATCATTTACTCTAATTTTTGATTCTTTAATTTATCACCAGTTTTCTATTGTAGGTATATCATCTCATTTTATTACATAAAATTAAAAATGAGTAAAATTAAAGTGATGAGCGTAACAGGTAATCCAGATTTATTACACTTCAAAAATTTACAATTGACAGAAAGAAAAAAGACTTATGAGATATAAGAAATGCATGAAGTAAACAGATTTATAATAAATTTAGTCTGAATATGATCATCAAGTGAAACTGCTAAAAAGGGATGCTTCATTGAGAATTTAAATTAAGAGATTACAACCACTTTGTAATTAGGAACCTTTTACTATGGATGATTCATTTATGTCTAAAACAGTTAAAAGGTTAATAAAATAAAGATAAAATAGACCCTTGTTATTAATTTAGAATGGAACACCTACTGTACATGCAAGTCGTAGAATTAAATTTACTCAGACTATGATTAGTTAAGCTTATGAATCCTAATTAAGATTTTTTAATTCTAGAAAGAATAGTATATATATATGATTAATCAATTTTAGCTTATGTACAAATGATGTTATCAATTGATGATTAATTATATCCAATTATCATTGAATTATTTAATGAGTTTGCACCTAAAGCTTGTGAGAATTTCACCAAATTCTGTGAAGGTGTTAATGTTGAAGGAAAGTTTTATTCTTATAAAAAAAGTAAATTCACTAAATACAAGCCTAATGGTATTAATTAATTTAATTTAAATTTTAGGCTTTATTCAAGGAGGTTAGTTTGATAAAAAAGTATCTATTTATGGAGGATATTTTGAAGATGAATCTTATGCTTTAAAACATGATTGTGAAGGTATTATTGGATTTGCAAATGATGGATTTTAACATACAAATCATTCATAATTTTATATTACATTAGCACCTATGCCTTTTTTTGATTATAAAAGAGTTGCTTTTGGTAAAATCATAAGAGGAATGAAATAAATATTAAAGGTTTTGAAATAAGAATAACATTCTGATATTGTTATCTATGATTGTGGTCGTTATGATCATTAAGCATAAATTAAATTAAAATTAGAAAAATTTACTGATGACTTTTATTCTAATCTACCAGAGAATGCATAATCATTTAATAAGTTTATTGAAGCAGAACAATTAAAACATAATGAAGCATCAGGTGATTTCACTTAATTAGTTAAATATCTTGTTGAATAAATGAGAATCATATCAAAATTTGTATATTCATTAACAAGTCTTAAGAAAGCAATACAATAATTAAATGAATCCTTTCTTAAAACATAATATTGTCAAATACTATATATATTAGATAATTAATAAACTTTATAAGCAGATAATTAATAATCTAAATATATTGTTGCATTTAGAGCTGTTGATGGTACAGATTCATGTAGAGCATCAGCATTTATTATTTTTAAGAAATAAACTACTATGTTTAAATAAGTTACATTAAATGATTTTAAATAATAAGCAGAATAAATTGTTTCAATGGGTTATTGTGTATATGGTTAAACAACTTAACTTGTATTTGGAACTGGATATAATTTAAGTATGTTTACTTTATAGAATAATGAATTTAAATTATAATAATAAGAGTAATATATGATTTAATATTTATATAGGTTATAAATACCAAAGAAAGAAACATTCTATTCTACT